GCTCGCTATGACATAAATTAGCCTTCCTCGGGAAAAGGGAAAGCTATTCCTTGCTTTTTACTAGGAAAACGTGTTTTTTACGTGACGAATTTTGGGAAAACTTTCTCTATTTGTGGCCGACGTAAGTTTTGTAGCTGCCAGAAACATTCACAGCTACAAAATTATGGCCGTTCTTTTTTACAGATTATAACAGTTAACTTACTATTACGATCTTAAATATTTTTATTAAAACACACAAATTGAAGAATTTCTTTTGTATTTATAGAAAATGAAAATAAAAAATATCCAAAGTATAGTGCTTTCTACGTCACATAGTCCGTAAAATAATTTTCAGTCGAATTAATTTCTGAAATTGTATTCTCTAAAATATGAATTTACATAAAAAAATCTATCACCTAGTAATAAATGATTGTACACAACGTTTCATCTTGAAAACAACAAGGTTTTCTAGATGATTAAAATGACGTTATAGTAGCGAGTACATTAAAAAATATTATATCGTTAAAGCCAAGAAATTAACTTTTAGTAAATTGTTACGATGATCTTGATCATCAACACGATCGATCGAAAGTTGTTCGTCTTCCAAAGACCTCTGATAACATCTTGTATTCCGAGATCATTAAGGATCTCTATTTTCTCCGGAGTAGCACTTTCCTCAGATTTTCCCGGGTTTTGTTCGGGAGCAGTACGTTTGCGTCTCGCTTTGTACCGTGTAATAGGGAGAGCGAAACGGAGGATGCGACAATATCCGGCGCGCCGGCGTCCGACAACTGATAACGCCAAGGGATGTTTATGTATGCGTTCATAATATGTTTCGAGTTATGCTCAACCCCTTCGAAGCATCGAGGCTATCTGTGGAACCGCTCGAAATTACAGAGACACGAAATTGCTCGAAAATGAACAATACGTCCTATGATAAATCTGGAAATTCCGAAATTTTCATCTCGTTGACACCGGTTCGTAACCGAGTGACGGCGATGGACACCGCCGAGACGAAACGAAATTGGTATTAGAATCGAAACTGCGTGGACGAGAAACTCGGCGTGAGAAATGGCGATAATTTCAGGCAAATTTTATCGATGCCGAGTGAATGAACCTATAAAAAGGAAAGTACTTTCGTCGACGACTCAATGGCTTTCGTATCTATATGTAAATAAAGTGGAAAGGGAGAAAGAGAGAGAAAGAGAAAGAAAGAGAGTGAGGGAGGAGCCGAGAAGGGAAAAGAAGAGACGGCCATTTCTCTCCATGGAGCTGGTAGTGTAATTTACGCGAGGACTGAAGATAGCGAAGGGACTTAATTCACGTTCCGCCGACGAAAAAATAGGATGGAACCACTACCGCGAGACGGAACCACCTAGTTCGCTGCTCTTAATTCTCGTTACAACGCTGTCCTTATCCGTGGCCAATTACCTAAGCTTATTAACTATTCCGGATAAACGAATCTCTCCCTCTGCCTCGTTCTCACGTCCACCGTCCACGTAGTTCGTTCCCTCCTTATATTATATTACTTACAACGTCGTGAAATGACAAACATCGCGATCCCCCTCGTTATAAAACGAAACGACCGGTACGGACATTTTCGGTCGTCGGGTCGGTCGGTGACATTCAGCCGACAATTATATACTCGAGCAGGAAAGAATACGGTCGACGCGGTGTCAGAATCAGCCTCCTGCGACTCCGTCGGGTAAAATAACAGTACGGTCTGGATGCCACACCCAGTATTGTGTTCACTCATACTCGTGGCCTCTGCACGTCGCCTTATGCGCTCACTTTGGCATTTTACGTAGGTATACCTACGTATCGATGATATACATGTTCTAACTCGGATGTACACCCGACACACGGACACGCTGGGTACAAGTGTACAAAAGGGGAGACGCGTAGATATATGTATACACGTACCAGCAGAGAAAGACAACGAGAACACGTAGGCACAGGGAAAGAGAGACCCACGGCTGGGTCTCGAAGATAGCGAGATACGAATGTTCGGAGAAAGAGACTGTACGGCGAATAGAGCGGTGCAGAAACGGAGAAGGACGAGACGAGAGAAAGGGAGGCAAGGAGGAAGAAGCAAAAGAAGAGGGGTGGAGCGGGGGTTGGTTTGGAAGAAAGGTGGGGTCGTGGATGAACGAAAGAGGGTTGGTGCGGGATGATGGCGGTGGCTCTCTGTTCTTTCACGTTCGCTTCCACGTCCCTGCAGACGTGCCAGCCGCTGATCTACGATTCCCTCGCGCATAGCGGGCCGCATAACTCTCGTCTTATACCTCTCGTTGAGATCTGGACGATGATATTGCTTATCCGTGCCGTTCGAACCGCGACTCGGCCTGAAATCCCCGCAGAAAAAAGAAAAAGGAAAAAAAAAAAAAAACAAAGAAGAAAACGATCGCTGAGTATGGCGGGAGAGAGATTGCCTCGCGCCTTTGGGGTGGCGTTTCGAGGGGTAGACTTGGCAAATCCGCTTGTTCATTCCGCGTCGGATGAAATATCCTCGCGTGAATTTCAAGTAGGATAACATTCCAGTCAATTTATAGTTAATAAACATGAGAACGGGAGAGAAAGAGGGGGGGATGGATGAATCCCGTTCGAGAGGGTGCATAAAGTGTCGCGAACCTTTATTCCGCGATAGGCACGTTCGCTTCGCAAACGATATAGTATGAAAGATATATACAAGGACACGGAAGAAAGAATTTCGTAAGAGCAACAGTTTCGAAACGATCTCCGGATCATTAAAATACGCGGATGAATTACGGCGGTAAACCAGTTACAAAGAGCGAAAACGAAAAGCTCGAAACGCATGAATTTTATTATGAGCCTCTTGTAGCGCACTTCTGAAGCATGGTATTACTAAACAACGTTGTCTCTAGACGGAAGCCTTTAAAAGAATGGAATAAGGGAGACGAAAAAAAGAGAGAGGTATTTTGTGGAAGAGATAGTGGCGAGGGCGAAGGCAATGGGGAAAGGTGGTGCAGAAGGGGGAGGAAGGGGGCAAAAGGAAGAGGAAAGCGTCCGCCCCTTTCCTTGCGCTCAGTTTGGGGGTTTTAGCTCGTGCAAGCGGTTAACGCAGCCATTTCACGCCTCGGGAAGCATCCAGTTTCCTCATCCAAATTCTAACCGAATTCACGGAAACCTCTCCGCCGACAACCTACGAGGATTTCTATTTAGCAGAGGTTGGAACATGGCGGAGACAATTGAGAGGAATCGGCGAGATGCTACTTCCTTTCACCGTTACGACCTTTGTACGCGTGTGTGCACGTTATGTGAAAATAAAAGGAAATGACAATTCGTTCGACAAATGCTTTTTTCGCCAACATCCGCCTGAGAAAGAGAAGACAAACAAAAAGTACGACGATAAGGGAGTAAAAGGGGAGGACGGATAACTCGATAATCGAGACGCTTCCATCACGTAGCCCATCGACTCGGATAACCCTCCGTCAATGCGATCTCTCTACCAATCCCCACAGCCATTTAATCCTTCGTCAGTCGGTCGCGCTCGATCGGACTAGGGTTACCCCTTAAAACTGCAATTCTTTATGGAATTAACCGACAATTAACGAGAACCACTTGGTTTTTGGTCTCGGACAGAAAGGGGAACGTGAGGACGAAAAAGAGGATCGGGAGGGGGGATTGGCACGATCGTTTCATCACGCACCGGAGATTCGCGCGGAACGAAATCCCGCGCCGGGGACGCGCAATCAAGGGAATATAGCCATTGAATCCGCGCGTACGTTGTCTGATATCGATGCAACATCTATTCCACGGAGAATTTCCATATAGGATTCGGATTATGGCGGAATGCCGGGATGCGCGAAACCGTCGCGTGTACACGGCTATCGAACTTTTACGGACGGCATCCTCCTCTTTGCTGTGTGCATCGGTATACCTCTCGTAAAGCCTCTCCGCGTTTTTCCTAACGGCAGCATGGCCTAAAGTGAGTATCGATCAGAAAGTCTGAGGGAATTACGGTCCATGAGCGATTCTCCATTGCCTGTACCAAGTGGTTATATCTGCCATACGTCGTGTGCTGCTAGGAAAGGGGCGGCAACCGCAGCAGCACGACTGTCCTTCCTCTCACCCTCCGACGCCATACCCGGACTCGGCTACCCCAATTTCACCCCCGAGAGCCAATATTTATTGATCACCCTCGAAGGCATCGTTCTGTATTCTCTCTGCCCCTCTCTGGCTCGCTCCTTCCCTTACTCTCACGCGCGGCCAGTCTTTCCCGCTCTCCTCCCCCCAAACTCTCTCCCCCATCTAACCGCGACCTCCGCACGTTCTCTCGTGGCGACGAGCCTCTCTTTCGCTCTTTCTTTTCTTTTCTTTTCTTCCTCCCTTTCGTTTTCAAGGGAAAGAGAAACACAACTGTCGGCGGTCGGTCCTCGGTCTCTGTCGCGCTGCTGTCAAGATGCTCGCAGCTGTTCTTCGCGATACTTCTTCTCCTCCTGGTCGCTTTATAAGGGAGGGAAAAAGGGTTCGTCAACAGAAGGAAAAGGAGACCGGAGTTCGGGAGCGGCAGTGTCGGGAACCTCTCGACGCCGATGAAAATTCACCCCACGATTCTTTATTCTTGGAAGCCTGCCTCCCGTGTCGTTCGAGACACAGCGCTATGCCGAATTCGTGGAAATTCGAGGGGGTACGCTTCCCACCCCTCCCCTCCTCTCCGCTCCTCGGTGGCAGTAGCATCTGTGCGAGCACGCCTCGCCCCAAATAAATCTAATCTCCTGACACACACGATCCGAATTCAGCACGAGACTCTCGGTATCCCCGTCGAAGGAGGGAAGCAAAGGCGCTTCATCGCACTCGAGTCTTCGGCGTCGTTCGATTCCAGAGGGCGATTTCAATCGGGCCCGTAATCGTCGCGCAACGTTTCGCTTCGTGCCCCGAATTGAGATCGTGTTCTCGCTCGAAAGGAACCGAGTGCTCGAAACCTCGAGCGCGCGAGACGTTTTTTTTTTTTTTTTTTTGTTCCAACTTTAATCAAGTTTGAAGAAAGCACAACTCACCTTGCAACCATGTCCAATGCGGCTTAGCAATATCTTCCTTACCTGTGACAAAGAGAAAAGTCTACGTGAGAATTCAGGTATTCTCTGACTCGCTTGCTCGTGTGCGCGCGCGCTCTTATGTTTGCGCGAAACAAGGTTCAACAACAGCGCTGGGAGAGCGACCCCGAATAAATCTTTTTCGACGATCGAATTCGACGCAACATCGGATGAAATCTGGGATGGGTGGTGTGCGAAAGGCAGAGATCGCCGGGATATATCGCGTACGTATAATAAGAGGCGTCACTTTTTGAATTATTCGCTGAAAACTGATCACCGCCCTGCGCGATACATCGTAAATCGTGGAAATGTTTAAGCAGCCCGGGCGCGTATAATGCGCGCGGCGGGGTGGGCGCGCGGATCGATCGATCGGAACATTTTAAAACCGAGCCAATGAGAATAACTCGCGGGGCCGTCATAAATGAAGCTATAAATCGTATTTAGCCAATCGCCGAGGCCGTGGCGATATTTCGCCGCGTCGGACAACACAATTTTCTCTATCGGATAGTCCAATTTCTAGATCGAGGATTCATATTTAAAAATATCCGCGCCAATCGGACGGGATTAAACAATTAACGATCGGCCGGTAGCCCCTTCGCACCACCGTTTTACCCCTACCTTTCGTCTCTGTCACGTTCGTTCGTCGAACCAAACACCCCTGGCCCAACCCCTTGCTCGTCCCTTCCACTTGTTTTTCATTTCGCCGGCGCGTGATGAAACGTCGATCGATGAGCTACTGAATGCATTTTGTACCGCGGCCATCGAACGCCGGATTGTGTTCGTTAATATTCTATTAGACGTCGACAAATGCGTGCCGTGTTTCAACGACACTCCACGTTTAATCTCCTTCCCCTCATTATACATTCAATCTCCCGTAAAGTGAAAATGACAGGGATTCCGCTCGCACATCCACCCACCGATTCGAAAGTTGGTTTCGAAATCCGCGGAGTTCGAACACCTGGCGCGGCAGCAGGCAAAACCCACTGGTCAACGACGTCGCGATTTTTACGAATCTCCCAGTTTGCGAGAAACGTATGGTAAGCGTATGGATGGCGAACGGATCGGATACGACGCGATACGATACAATAGCTGCTGATTGGAACCAACTTCCTCCGTCGTTATGCATATACTGGTAAAATTAAAATGCAATGCAAAATGCAATCGGTCAACATTAGCAAATGGCCGGGCCGGACACGGGCGCGCGATCATCGCGGCGGAAAGGATTAAGTTAATCGCGCGAAATGGGAAATTTCAATTGTCGAACGACTCGCTTCAGAACGCGCGCGGCAATTATGCGCTCGCGCGGACGCTTGTAACTCACCGCAATAACAGAATAGTAGATAATCAATTTCAACCCCGGGCTCGAATTACGCTGCCTCGGTTACATCAATCATTAACTCGTTTATCGTGTAACCGGGCTAGTTAGTCACGATCGTAAAGCAACCTATTGAAAGTATAATGCGGCCAGCGAAAAGGGGGTAGGTAGGTAGCCGCGGCGGCGGCGGCGGCGGCAGCAGCAGCGACGGTGGTCGCGCATTAAACCGAACAGAGCCGTTTTACCACGCGTATCGGCTACAAACGTACTTGCCACGGTAATCTAGCATCTAGCAACAACTTCTTTCCTGCCCGGCCAGGGCTCTATCATCCATATTCTAGTTATTTGCGCACGTGCACGGCCCCCAGCTCTCCGCTCGTCGTACACAACACGTAGCCGGTGCGCGCCTCTCCGCGCACGTGGGTGTATATAGCCGTGTGTCGCACACGAGCGCGTTCCGTTACGTGTGTTCGCACGAGCAAACGCGCGCGATGGTACCTACTTAAGTCAGATATTATCGGCAGAGGAGGCAATTCGATTGCGTGTACCGAAGCATGGTGCAGCGCTGATATAGAACTACTAAACAGGTCGTAGATCAGCTCGGTTAGTTATAACGCTGCCTCTGCTCCTGGCCCCTACTACTGCCCCACCTCCCCTTCGACGCTGAACCAATTCCCACCGGTGTTCTGGATCATTTGGCGGCCCGCGGCCGTGAGATGCGCGCATGCACCCGCCACCACGCTCTCTCTCTCTCTCTCTCTCTCTTTGGGTTCGCTATCGCGATCCTGTAATTCGCCCTTCGATGGACTCTATGATTTTTAGGAACGATCTCGCAGAAAAAAAAAAAAAGAAGATGAAAATACCACACCGGCACACGGCACCAACTACCACCCTCTCCCTCTGGGAGGAGGCTGTGTACGCTGCACTTTTTTTTACGACCACGGGTTACAGCGCTGCGAGATTCGTCGATCGTTGGAAATAAAGTGGTCCACGATAGCTCGTTCCCGCGCCAGTTCCATTGACCCTCCGGTTCATTCTCTTTTTTCCCCTTCTTTCTCTCTTATTCTCGAGTATTCCTTGTGGCAGCGGAGGATCGAGATCGTGGTTTACAAGATGTTCAAGCTGATCTTGCCTCGTCCAACTGCGAGAGAGTACGATCGTCGAATATCGATTTCCCTCCCCATCTCCCTTTATTATTTTTTTTTTTTTTCTTTTCTTTTCTTTCATTCCATTTTCACAACGCGATTCTGATTTCGAGAAATTCCCGGCGTAGCTCGATGCTCGCCGATCTTGAACGAAGCGCAGTGCTGTAAATCAGCGTGGAAATCTCATATCCTCGACGAAGACCACGATGGCGCCTCGTTCTTCCTTTCGTCCGGCTACGGCCTACGATCGACGAATTGATAATTCAAGAGGGAGCGCGTTATTGGTTCTCCGAGTGAAAATCTGCAGACCGGTGACTTACGACACATTGCCGGTGACTGGTTATTAGATTATTGGTCGTATCGACAGCTCATGCGTTCGCTGCCGATATAGGGGAGTCACCAGAGGCAGCCTGAGAGCAGAGGGAGAGAGGGTGAGAGAGAGAGAGAGAGAGAGAGAGAGAAAGGGTGAATTCGGGGGATGGCGACGGTCGGTGATGGTGTCGCGTACGGACCACGTACAAATATAGAGGGGTTCGGGGTATGGGAGTTGGCTGAGAGGCAGGGGGAGGGAGCAGCGGCGGTAGGACAAAATGGGGAGACCGTGATAACGATAACGTACGATCGGCATTAGCTGGCGGCTTGCTGCGGCTGATGGATGCGCTAATTATCAGCAAGCAGGAGTTACAGTGTTTCGCGTAGCCGTCCGCGCGCGCCCGGACGATCACTATGCGTTTCCGATAGAGAGCATCGTGAAAAAAGAGATTACGCGCGGCACGGTGAAAAAAAAACACGAAAAATCCGGAATTGCCGGGGCATTTCGATGTGTGACGGGCTCGCGTTCGGGGAAAATTCGAACCAGGATCGCCCACATTCGAAACAAACCCGGTGGTAAACACTGCGTCGACTATGCCGAGGGTACACGCGTTTTCGATCGGCCAAATCCGTGCCTACATCCCCGATCAGACCTTATTGCATAATTCGTGAATTCGCCGTTGTTATCGCGACTGTGAAAACGCGAATTCGAGCGAAATTTACGAAAACAAACAAACAAACGAAAAAAAAAAAAAAACAGATTTTAAGGAAACAATGAGAAAATAAACTACGTTGGAAGTGACACAATTTTTCCATTTTGTGTAACTTGCCACCGTTTCTAGGAGTCTAGAAAAGAGAGTCGGAGATAGAAAATCTATTTCGTTCGCGATTCAAACGGACGGTGGAAAAGCGATCCGAGCAATTTTCTTCCCTCTTACGTTCAATTTCGAAGGGCCGGCATCGTACCTCTCGCACATCCACGTATACCCATACGTACATCCGGAAACCGCAAGCTGCGGTCTAAGCCCTAGATGCATCTACGTAACATAATCTACGATAGCGGGCGGCGCGTATACAGCGCACGATCGGTCGAGATCCGGTGCCCCGTAATGAACATTGCGCTTGTTTATTTAATGGGAAATTCGGTGGCGCCATAAAGCTCGAAGAAGGGGGTGAAACCTATTAAATTTATGTTTTCGGTTTACCCGCTCTGACGGATCGCAATGCCCGCACGCGTCGACCTCTAGCCACCCCCTGTCGTGGTTCAACCACCCTCCACCCACTTGCACCGCCATTTCTACCACCTACTATTCCCTTCCATCCAGCTTTCCTGTATCTCCTCTACCCTCTTTCCCTTCCACCCTCATTCAATCGCTCCCTCTCTCTCTTTCTCTCTGTTTCTCTCTATCTTGCTTTGTTACTAGCATTGTTACCAGCTCTGTTCCTGCTTTCCCAAACATTCTCTCGTATACTGTCTCTGTTCTCTCTCTCTCTCTCTCTCTCTCTCGTCGTGTGTTTGTATGTTTACCGTATTGGTAGTCCAGCGTAATCCAAACGGAGATATATATTTGTAGTATCTAGGGGGTTCGCGCAGGGCTCCGTGAACCACGTTGCGGCGCCCATCGTGACGGACAACGCCGCGTCAGCGCGTAAAGCATCATCGCGTTTCTGCGGCTTGCGACCGCTCGTCGTACGTTTCGTTGCTTGACAATAGGTCAAAGATCTAAAACTGAACTCGCGCACGGTCGTCGGTCCAACGCGTACCGCGTAATTTCAGCATGAGTGCCTTTCGGGTTTGCCTCGTTTCCCCTCTGCTCAAAATTCTATAATCGCTACGTACGTATATACGTATGCACTAGAGTCGTCATCGGAAAATATCGTTTAAAGAAAATCTATCTATTTTTTTTTTTTTTTAGAAAAAGTCGCTCTGAAAGTTTTTACAAGTCACGGGTACATCCAATGGAATACGAATAAGTTTGCGAACGGTAAGATACCAACTTTGATACCGTTATCGCCGGCATTTTGCGACGACGATCAAGACACCTTCGTCTCGGAGAAAAGTTTCTCTTTTAGCCGGCCGAGCAGCTAATGCCTGGTAACCCCCGAGGAATCTGGCATAGGAAAAACGGCCATCCTGCGACTTTATCCCTTTTGAATCCCCCTAATTGCCAAATTTTCCTCGCCCTTAATTTAGTGTTATAATTGCTTCCTACCCCTTATAAGGGGTTGCCCGC